TCGGGATCGGTCGATTTGTGATGTGACACGACCGTGACTAACGAAAACATAGTTAGTTTAATGAATACTTACGAGATCTTAAGTACGCAGTAACACAATAGGTAAAAAAATTATCCCCACCAATTGAATAGTTACCCATACCCTGATCAGAAGAAAGTAAAAAAAAGCTTTAAAAACGACCTTTTCTTAGTTCGTGAGCTTTGATCGAAGTTTGTGAGTTAATGTAGAGCTAAAAAGTTATAAGGATACCTCCCACTTTTTTCATTGCTGTACAAATTGAAAACGCTTTTTGTCGAAAACTTAATAATAATATTACTAAATATTTCAATACTTTTATTATAAGAAGAAAAGCTTGTTTTGATTTTTTTTAAACACAGGTCCTCAGCAGGGATTACATAATGTTTATCATAAAAACATGTTTTTCTGGATACTTCTTCGGGACGAATGAAACAATCAATCAAGTGCACCATTTTTCCTTTTTAAGGATTGATCTTAAACCTAGCAGAGCTCGTATAAATTCAACAACTCTCAGATTCGAGATACCTACTTACCGCCTCACGTATATCAGGTAATTTAAATTAAAAAATAATGAGGAAAATTATATGGAAACTAAGTAGCGGTCGGAAGATCAAACTAGGCGACCCTTTCCATAGAAAATTTGACGAGGACGATACGAATATTTTCTCACTAGTTGCTCGTGCTTGCCCAGAAACATAAATGTGACATTTGCTTGCTGCTTAATTTTCATAAATTGCTAACTGCTTTTCCGACGTCATTTACAAGCTAGCTAAGTTAGAAATTCTGATCAGGTACAACCAGGGACAACCAACTGAAAATCATTAAGATTTTAAATTTTAATACGGTGGGAGAGCAGGAGACCCTTTGTAAAGCCAATTGCGTCGTCTATGTGCCAAAATTGTAGCTCATTCGGAAACCGAAGAGTGAGTAAAATTTTAATAGCAAGATTTCATTATTATTAACCGACAAGCAGATACCGGGACAGATAAAGTTTGAAAGCTTGTAAAATACTCAGGGCTTCAATTTTTCAATAAATGTCTCATATCGATTGTTTTTTTTTCACATTATTTATGTTTAAAGCTAATCATGTTTGTGCCTCAATCTACCTTTTTTTTCTTTAAACAATTGATCTAGATAGAATGATGTGTTAGACAGGATTAAGCCTTAATTTTAATTTAGATGTTGGTGCAAGTGGTGGTAGATTTTTTTATCACCCTCAAATTAATCACATTATAAATGATAAAATGTTCACGCCGACACTTTTAACATGTTCACCTTAAAGAATTACTTCACGGCGAGGTAGTAAAAATAACAATATACATAGTTTAATAAAACGAAATATTTTTTTTTTATGGCAAGACATATTTTTTTAAAGTTTAATCACGCCTATCTAAGAAGTATATAATCTGGTATTAGGATGATAGTCAGCAAAGCAGCTTTTAATTAATATGAAAAGATAAAATATTTGACGCAATATATAAGTATGGCATTTTGATTCGGTGATTTGAATGAAAATATTAAATCATTATTTAAAAAAAACTATAATAAATAGCTGAAGAACATTTGCTGCTTATAAAACTTGGAATCGCGAAGCCTCTTTAAGGGAAATAGGAAATTAATAATCAGTAGAAAATAAGGACAGTCGATAGTAATGTCTCTCTCATAGACTTCACGTAGATCCAAGTAATTTGTTTTTTATAATAACTTCCTTACGTTACGTTAGTTACAAATAGTTTTATGAAGAGTCACTATTTAAAAATTCTGAATTAATTAAAGGAAGTTATGTAATAAAATATGTCGAATATTGATAACCAGAGCTCAATGCAGTTGACAAAGCAAGTTCGTTAAGTTCGTTTAATAAAAAGGTCAAAGCATATTGATATTATTGTGCGTGAAAATATAACATACGGAGATTCATTTTTTTGTAAACTAGGTAATAATCAGAGCCGGATTTCAGGCAGGGCAGGCGGGGCTCTGTGGCCCAGGGGCCCCAACAACAAATCGTCTGTAAATCGTTAGTGGCCCCACCTAGGTTTAGGGGACTTAACTCTTTCGTTGCCCCACACCTCTTAATTCGGACCTGCTTATATTGTTTGTAAATTTATATTGAAGACTAGACTAGGGGCCCGCCCTCGCTTCGCTTCGGTGTAGAGCTGTAGTGTAAACTATAGTTTTTGTTCTCGGGCTTGTGTTATAAACAATGACTTTATTTATATAATTACACGTGTTATTGTAAGTCAACCATAAAAGATAGACATATGCTGTTGCGGGATATTTTTTTGACAATTTTATGTAGAATATTTCCGTCATACATGATTTCTATGTAACTTTAACCATTAAGGCTGCACACGCGACGGAAGCTTAAAAAATGGAGTAACTTCTCCCGTTTTCCCAACATTTCCCTTCACTACTCTGCTCCTATTGATTGTAGCGTGATGAAAAGTATACTATAACCTGCCCAGGAGTATGAAGAATAATTGTACCAAGTTTCGTTAAAATCCGTCGAGTAGTTTTTGTTTCTATAAGGAACATACACACAGACAGACAGACAGACAGACAGACAAAAATTTTACTGATTGCATTTTTGGCATCAGGTTCGATCACTTATCACCCCCTGATAGTTATTTTGAAAATATATTTCATGTACAGAATTGACATCTCTACAGATTTATTATAAGTATAGATAATGTCAAAAATTTATACTTAGAACAAATTAGATTTTACTTAAACACACGTCGAATTTAGAGTTATTTCCCAATCAATGTTAACAAAGTCCATTTCTTTCCTAACTGTAGTCAATTGTTTTCTTTATTTTATATATTTTCTACTACTACTTTACCAGTATCCCCCAATTTGTAATATTTTTCCTGTAGTGTGTTCCAGTTTAACAATAATAACAAATACTGTTCACTTTTCTGTCTTACCTTGTTTCACATGTCATAAAAGGTGTATCACAAGAAAAAATATTAAAATTTTGTAAAAGAATCTCTACACCCGTAGACAAATGGTAATTTCTTATTTTACAACGATTACTCTTACTTAAAAGGTTTGTTTGAAATGAGCTACAAAAAAAGTTGGGCCGCGATCGGTTACGCGGCAACCCTATATAGGCGCGAGGTGAGGAAATAATCTGGTTTTCGGAACGTTATGTAGTGTTACTCAATTTCATAATGGCAGCCCAGAACAAATAAGTAACGTGAAGTGCACAAAGAACCGTTAGTAGTAAGAAAAACATGACCCCCGGCACGCAGGCATTCCTCGAGTGCATTAAATCTAAACAACACGATTGCTTTAAATATAACTTTCGTAAGACATTTTATGTGTCCATTTATCTCCGTTGTTGGTAGGTAGGTAAGAGTCAAGGGAACTTTAACGGAAGTGAACCGAAAGCCTCGACAGCCAAATGATAAAACGACGGTCAGTATTTTATTGATGGGTCTTGCTGGCGAAAATTTCTTCAAACTGTAATATTTTCGATGAGTACCCTTTTTTTTAATTAGTATATATACGATATAATTAATTAATATGATAAATGCTAAAGTGTGTCTATCTTTCTGTCTGTTACCTCTTCACACTTATACCACTAAACCGATTAAGATCAAATCTGGTATCGATCAAATAATCAAAGGTATAGATATAGGTCGAGTCGAACCAATTACTTGACGCAGATGAAGTCGCGGGCACGGGTTAGTAGTAATTATATGAGATCTAAATAAATAAGATTGTTATTCAAATAACTTATCACATTATTTTTGAACACCATAGTACACTAGACAATAATACAAAAATAAAATATATACTGCGTATTTTTCGTTACATAGGGATTTTAAAATCAAAAACTTAATCAACAAAAAGTAATAATCAATCGGAGTTAATTAAATAGTAAGCAATGTCGGTCAACATACATCTGGCTGAGGTGTGATCTGAGAAAATATCAACCTAAATAGATTTTTAACAGTATTTTTTTTATTGTTTTTTTTGTAATATATACTTAAATTTGCAGTTGAGTTAAAGTCTACTGTCGTTAATATTAAGACGCCTTCGTGTTCGACTCCAGCTTCTCTAGCATGATCACCGAAACGGGATATGATAAAGCGATATATCGACATTAACTGTCAGACTACTGTCAAACTCCATAGTAGTCTGACAGTTAATGCCGATATATCGCTTTATCATATCCCGTTTCGGTGGTCATGCTAGAGGGGCAGGTCGAAGTAGATAAACTATACCGTTTACTTTTCTTATTTTCATAAACAAGCGCTTCAGGCCTTCAGCTATTTAGTTCACGGCCTTATCTATGTTATGTTATCTGTACTTATTTGTATATAACTCTTGAAATTCATTGAAATAAATCTGTTTTAACACCTTAAACTCAGTTAACTTTCGGATCCGAATGAAATTATGTATTAGTAGTAGAAAAGGGGCAGCAAAAGAAACACAATATGCAGTTCTCCACAAAGCAGCCAAAAGACATCAACGGACGCAGCTTAGATGAGCCAAAACGTAGGAGCGGAGCAATTTGCTATAAGCTTCGACAGGCAAATGATAAAACGACGCACAGGGGACGATCGCATCCGATGAAGCCTTAAAGGACTTCCCGGCCAGAGGCAGCCCCAACGGGTGTGTTTTAGTCAATAAGAGACTGACATAACCCTGCAGCCGGCTGTAGGGTATCCATGAGGATTTCACACCCGCTCCTCCGTCTGGGAGGAAACAAAAAAAATGATAAAACGACGGTCAGTATTTTATTGATGGACCGAACCATCCTGGTGAATATTTCTTAAAATTATAATAATTTCGCTGTATAATTTTTTGTTGTTCACGATTTACGATTAAATTATGGTGTGTCTTATGTCTAATTATTATTATATTATTTATATCCATAATAACTTAATATTATTAAAGCGTAATCTTAATAGTATGTGTATTTGTCGGTCTGCCTGTTAATAAAGTAAAACGTAGTAGTACCTCAGGAGCAGTTGGTTATAGGCTCGTTGACATAACCTTGCCGGGCAGACGAGCCGCGGCAAACGCACCTCCGCTATATAAGTGACTGACCGGTGGCCGCCGTGACACTTACCGCTCCGCTGGTTCGCCCCGGGAGTACATCACAACTATGAACGCACTACTGGTACGTACTACTCTGGATTTTCTCAAGAGGCGACTTTACTTGATCGAGTCCTTACCGCACACATTCGTCTACTTGGCGCACACAAATGGATATAATATGGTTTAAATAAAAACGGATCAATTAAAATCGCTTCGTGACAACCCCCGTTTCAGTAATATTTTAAGTTCGTGTTCCGCGCGGATTATTTCGTCAGATGAGCTTTTAAACAACGGTCGTTACTTTGTTAGTTTTTTTTGTAACACGAAAATATTTGCAGCTCATTTTTTTGTTATCTCTTACTTTGAATGTCAAGTACTGCATGTTTTTTACGTGTTCTGCTCCACTACTCGTCGTTTAAATTGGTAATTAGTACCGAATACGTATTATAAATTTGACTTTGAGAGCTGCTTAACTTTAAGTGGGATCACTAAAACGCGTGATCACTATTTTTTTTAATTTTGTGTTAATAGACAATACTACAAATAGTGTTTTATCGACGCTGGCTGTTAAGCATCTCTCAAATATTAAGATTCGTTTCCGTGATACCCTAAAAGACAAAAAAAAAACTTGTATACATTGTCATCATATTACACATTGACAAATATTGCAAAAGATAAGCAACAATGATTCTAATGGATGTACTTTATGCGATTTGCAAAGCTTAGCGAAAGTATTTTTTTACAGTTTTACTAATATTCGTCACTGGAATATGTAAAGAGAATAAAATACTTGAACATGAACGTCTTTATTTTTTCTTGAGCTTACAAAAAGTTGATTTATTGTCAGATTTTAAGAGGTTGTATAAAGTCAGAACTTAATCATCACAAACTCAAGAACTTGATATTCTCAAACTAATATCACATTAACTTACTAATTACATTTTCGTTTATCATTACTTAAATATGGATTTGAAATAATAACCAGTAATTTTGATTTTTTTTTGTTATTATATTATAAACATTATGTTTTTTGTTAATATTTGATATATAATTTGTCAACCTCCGTGACCGAGTGGTTTGAACGCCGGGTTTCATGGTGTCGCCGACTCGAGAGGTCCCGGGTTCGAATCCCGGTGAGGGCAGATGTTTATGTGATGAATACGAGCATTTGTACTACAGTCATGGATGTATATAATAAGTATTTTCTATATAAATATACGTATATATGTAAAGTATATGGTATCTATCCGTTACCCTAGTATCTTAACACAAGCCTTACAGTGCTTACTTTGGGGCTAGGCTAATTGGTATGTTGTGGAAATATTTATTTATTTTGAATAAAAATAATAATTACACGTCGGTACTATTATCACATAGTTATGCAAATATAAGTTTATTTAAAATTCTTTTTTTTTACAAAAACATGCATATAATATGTTTTTTCTATATAAATATACGTATATATGTAAAGTATATGGTATCTATCCGTTACCCTAGTATCTTAACACAAGCCTTACAGTGCTTACTTTGGGGCTAGGCTAATTGGTATGTGTTGGAAATATTTATTTATTATGAATAAAAATAATAATAACACGTAGGTACTATTATCACATAGTTATGCAAATATAAGTTTATTTAAAATTCTTTTTTTTTACAAAAACATAATTTATTTCTATTTGAATACATTAAAGTATACAAGTAGGATTTAAAAATTACATAATAAGTAGTAGCAAGTTCTTAGGTTAAACCGGTATTGACAATCAATAATGACAAGTTAGTTTAGCCACGAGAATTTTAAATTTTGGTTGTTCGGGGCGTTATAAAATTACCATTTTTATTATAGACTAAGGTAGGTGCGTCTTGAAAGGCCCCAGTTTTTTTTCATTATCAAAATAAATATATAAATTTAAATAATTTATCAAAACAAACTACATCAAAATATCATTTGTTTATCTTTGAATAAAGTCGCCATACAAATCAACATATTTGATAAAACTTCTTTAAGAAAGCAAGTGTTTTACAAAGACCTTTAAATTCTGCTATTATCCTAACAATGATCTTTAGTAATATAATCGAAAAATCAACATATTGAAAAATATTTTTCATAAAATATTTACTTATTCGACTGACGACATACTGAAGATATAAGAAATTTGAATTTAAAATATAAAGCACATAATTCGAAGAAAGTAGAGATATTTTTACATAAACATAAGATTTAGTTTCTACTAGAACAAATAAAATAATGATATTCTTTAGCTCTATAAGGCCAGGACTATCTTGGGTATCCTTTTTGTGGGCCTTTATAGGGACTTTACCCTGTAACAAGAACTACTAAAATTTAATAAACAATACAAATAACGCTTAGCTCCTTAGGAAAGCCCACAAATGTACGTAAAATTGTATTAAAAAATAAAGACTAATTGATTTTCTGAAGAAATACTAAAAAACGGGCCAAGTGCGAGTAGGACTCGCGCACTAAAAACGGTAAAAAATGACGTCTGTTGTACGGGAATACAACTTAAATATTTATTTTATTTTAATTGAATTGTTTATTTTTAAAGTGAAAATACAATTTAATATTATGTGAACATTTCAAGTGTGATAGACACTGTGGTCGTTATTAATATAGAGCAAACAAAGACACAAAAACACGTTTGTTTTATGGGATCCTCCCTTCAATATTCATTTTATTCTATTTTTAGTATATTTTGACATAGCGGCTACAAAAATTCATCATCTGTAAAAAAATCAACTATCTAGCTAACATGAATAAAAGATACAGCCTGGTGACAGACAAACAGACAGACAGACGGACAGCGGAGTCTTAGTAATAGAGTCCCGATTTTCTCCTTTGGGTAAGGAACTCTTAAAAAATAGTGAACACGAGAATACAAATCGTAAGTCACTTGCAACGTCACTGACAAAGTGTCAACCACTGCAACGATGAGGGCTGCCTTCATTTGATATGAACTTAAAGTTTTGTCTATGAAACTTTCCGAACATGGGGGGTAAATTCATAGTCATTCGAAATGCCTTAAGTATGAAATTTTGAAAATGCGCATTCCTAGTAACCAGTCTGTGCCGGGCTTAGAGATGGAGGAGTCCGGTCCTGTAACCGAGCCATCTTGAGTTCAAGTACCTTATATTTCTTATTTTTATTACGTGATTTCTTGACATTTTTAATAATTTCAAAATGTTATCAATAATAATTACCACGTCTACTTGTAATAAACTTACAACACGAGTACATACACAATGCTAACGTAGAGAGTCTATAGTTAATCTATAAACCTTTTTTAGTGTTCCGTACCTAAAAAGTAGAAATGGAACCCTATTGCTGTCACTCTGTGGTCTGTATCTCTCTGTCTGTCCGTATATCGTGGGTCTCTAGATCGTTAAGAGAATGAGTTATAGAACTGAAATTTGGGATTTTATGTAGAATGCTTGCCTTTTTGAATTTATAAATATTTTTGAAGCCAGTCTTACCCATGCCTAGTTTTATAACTTTGCGGCGTGCTGGGAATTTTGAGAAACTCTTGCATTGTCAAATGAAGTACAATAAATATTTATTGTAAAAGTGACACTAAAAATAATACGCATAGGTAAATAAATATAATTTTAGGTAAGAAATGAGATTTTTATTTACTTTTGTATAAAGGGAATGCAAACTAATATTATAAATGCGAAAGTGTGTCTGTCTTTCTGTCTGTCTATCTTTCTGTCTGTCTGTGACCCCCTCGCGCTTTAAACACTTAGCCGATTTAAATGAAATTCGGTATACAGATAGTTTGGATCCCGGTTAAGGACAGGGATAGTTTTTATCCTAAAAATATTCCTTTAAGGGGGTGAAAAGGGGGGTGGAAGTTCTTAAGGGAAACCAATATTTCCAAGGAGACGAAGTCGCGGGCAGTACAGGCAGTACTAGGCACCCACTAATAATATTATAAGTTAATTCATCCAAAATAATACGAAAATACAGTATTTATCGTCTTTCACAAAACTGTTATACTTGGAAAGCATAGGATAAGTCATTCAAATCCATAACCATTCTTATGTTCGACATTATGACATTTTTATATAGTAACTAGCTGTCCCAGCGAACTTCGTACCGCCATAAAAAAATAGGGGTTGGTTGTAGAAGGGTAAAAATTTAAATATAAGGGTGGACTACCTTTAACATTTAGGAGGATGAAAAATAGATGTTGTCCGATTCTCAGACCTACTGAATATGCATATAAAATTTCACGAAAATCGGTCGAGCCGTTTCGAAGTAGTTCAATTACGCACACCGTGACACGAGAATTTTGTACATATATTAGAAGATAGTCCCTTTTTATTTGCCTTTCTAAGAAATACAAGGTGAAAGTGAATCCCCCATTAGCTCCTATTCGAAGACTAACGATTTGGACGCGACCACAAGACAGTCGCTTGTTGAAATTTTTTTTGATGCCCTACACGTTTGACTCTGTATAAAAGTCTCAGGCTTGCTGGAAACATTTCACAAGCCGCTCCGCGCTCGAGTAAATCCAAAAATACCTGCTTGGGCTCCCCTTCCTTGATATATTATGCTGTCAGTACGACGACGCCCGTGAGACGGTCTGTAAGATATATTTTAAGTACAAGTATATTATGTCAAGTATAATCGATACAGTGCTTTAGTGCATAACTTTGGTTACTATTACTAATGAATCAACTAAACTAAAAACTTTTACATTTTAACAAATCAGCATTGAAATGCTAAAATAAAAATATATAGATAGAGGTTAAAGCAATAGACCAGGCAACCTCACGACTCAAAATCAATAACAAAAGGCTTCATTCACAGAATTAAAAAATCAATAGTACTATAGCAGTTTTATGTACGTTAGTTACGCGATAATAACAATAGATAAATATTTATTGAGAGGATGCATCAACACCTGACTATAGGTCAAGTGTGGCCACACCGGTTCGTGTTCAAACACAAGCAAAGTATAACGAAAATTATAGATTACGGTTATCCGCCAATACAAATATTTCAGTATAATGCAACTCTTTCATATTAGAATCGCTTGATCCAGATATTAGCACGGCTGCCAG